TTATGCTTCGTCTGAGTAATAACTATATTATAATGAGTAACTTGCATTAAATTACCTACTTTAGAGAGGGCAGTTAATAAATTAGAGAAGGAAGAAGACCTGGAGAACAAATGTCACAATTATCATACTAGGAGAGATTGAAGATTTTGTTAAATATTTTCTTATAAAATTAACAACTTAAAACTTGTATGATATTAAAATTTGATATGCTTTGATGCCATGTTTATTTGTAGGCAATAATAATAAAAAGTTGTAACATGCACACTTTGACCTGCCTGTGGCGAGAGGGTTAATAAGATATAAATTGATCTCAACTAAGAATATTATTAGCTAAAATATTATAACCTAACCTAGCCTGTGGCATGTCAGATCATAAGATACCTATAAATCTTTGTCAGTTTTCACCGTATTTCTTATGATTTATAGCAGTGACTACTACAATTGGCAAAGTATCAAAAGAAATAGGTTAATGAATGTCAGTTAAATTGAAATTGATTCAATATATAAAATGGAACTTTGTGATCAACATAAAAAACATTTAAATTTGAAGATGAGGAAGTATCTTTAATGCTTTTTTTCTTTGAAAAAAATATTTCAACAAATTTTGGAAATTTCACATTGTAGTAAAGTACAGTAGAAAAAGTACATCAACTTATAGGTTTTTAAAAAATCAAAAATAGATGCTATTTTGTAACAGTAAATGTTTATGAAGTTTTGTGCAATTTGGTTAAATATTTTTTTTCCAAGGCCTGGCATAGCCTGGTGGTTGGAGTGCATAATTCGTGGGTCATGGGATTGACACATAGCACCCAACATGCTTGTTCTTATGCCCATTGAGGCATTATAATGTGACGGTCAATTTAACAATTCCTTAGTAAACTGTACCCCAAGAGTTGGCAGTGTGTGCTGTTAGCCAATTATCCTCCCTGTGTCCTGCAACTTAAAATTAAGGACAGCGGAAGATAGCCTTAGTAGCTTTGTGCCATAAACGTGTAACTATTTCTAATGCAATAACGTACCTCCTCTCACATAACAACTTTTCTTGATTATTAATGACCTCTATATGTGCATTTACTTCCAGTTCTGAGGTGCAAATTGATCCATTTCGACAACTCAACCATTGACTTCTACATTACTCGACAAGGGGGCATTCATTCATGATATCTCTGTTTTCACACATTGAATCTTATGTTCTAGGTCCACAGCTATCAGATGCACTTGTTGGCTTGTCATATCCTGGGTGTTCTCAATGTTATCATGGATCAGTTGTCTCATCCCGACAAGGTTTTTCCCATGGAGTGGCCCTCATTCTACAGGTCTTCTGGTGGCTATGCTCTCAGTTGAGTATGTCCCAGCTGGATGCTTTCTCCATCCACCTGAATACCAATCTCTTGCTTTTCTGGTCCACAGTTCCACATCTTCTGGCTTTGGCAGCTGATACCTTCAGTCAGGATTGGAGGAACCTTTACATTTATGCTTATTCGCCCATCTATTTTCTTCCCAAAGTATTGTCCATTACATAACGTAACAGCTTTTCTTGATTAGTAATGCCCTCTATATGTGCATTTTCTTCTGGTTCTGAGGTGCAAATTGGTCATGATCTGTTCCGACAACTCAACCATATGTCTTCTTCCCAAGTTCTTGTCCATTACCCAAACCACTCCGTGTTGAGTCCTTCTCATGGAATTGTTCTGGCTTGCTCAACTCTGGTTCCTGTTACTTAAGCCTCTCCAGTTGTCACCACCTTTACCACTGCCTCTTTCCCCTTCCTTCCCTCATTGGCCTCACCCATCCGTGTTTCATCCATCCCTTCCCACACACTAGGTTCATGCATAGCTTTCCAAATGTGTATTATCCCTTATTTCCCACTCCATTCAACCTTCTTAAATTTTTCTTTACCAATGTAAATGGCATATTTTTTGCCATTGGTCTCTCTGTCATGGCCTCCTCCCTACCTGTCCCTCTTTCCTTCTGATTTCTTTATCTGACTGTTTGACAATGTTCTTTCTGTATCGACCATTGCCAGCTGTAGAGCAGCCTTGTCCTCTACCTTTCATTTTTTCCATTTCTGCCATGGGACATGCAAGGTGTTTGTTCCTGTCTTTTTATCTACTGGAATCCATCCCTAACCTGAGATCTTTCACTGATTAACCTTACAGTTTGTATTCGCTAGCTTATTCATCTGGATTATTTTTTCTTATCCTTTGAGGGCCTTTGCCTTTTCCACGTTTCCTCTCACCAGATCCATGGCTGCTTATTTATGTTGTCCTGTGGAGATCTTCTGTACTGGTATGTGGACCACTCCTCACACTTTAGTTTTGCATTATCTTCATCATCTGGCTGTCTTCTCTTCAACTGGATATCGTTTGCCACCTATCACTATTTTGCACTCCTCAGTTCGTTTGTGATTGGGTAGGTTTTCTTTAATTATCTCTTTTTATTTTTACATTGACTTCTTTTTTAATTCTTGTTGGATCCTGCTCTGTGGCGAGTGGTGCTTCTCCAGTGGAGCACAGGTGTCCTTACCACTTACCAACTCCTAGCTGCTGGGGTGGTAGTCTATAGAGGCTTCCTCCTTGTTGTGATTGTTCCACTCAGTTGAGAATAGGGTGTTGGTGTTCTGCCAGTGTTGATGGTGTGACTATCTTCCTACTGTGGACCTAATGTACAATTTCAGATGCTGGTTGGTTTTGGACTGGAGTTTTTCCACTGCAATGCAGTTCACCCCTCTGGCTGGAAACCCTCCTTTCTACCACTGTCTGGATATTGTTTGCCAGATGTTCTATTGTTGGTTGGAGCTGGACTGGTCAAAATAAGTCTTCACACATGTGGTTGGGCTAGGACCTTCTTCCTACAGCAGATTGGATGATCCAATTCCAATACCACATGGTTTTGGACTGGAGTTGACCTTCCACATTGCTTTTCACCTTCCTGCTGTCGACTGGATGTCGGGTTCCCGGGTGGCTGGTGTTGGTTGTGTACAAGGTCTGCACATGTGCTGGATTGGGCTCTTGGAATGGAAGTCTTCTTTCCCCTTCTGGTTCCTGGGCCTGAGGTGAAGATGGTAGGGACTCTTCTCCTACTGTGGAACAGATATACCAC